ATTAACATCTGATGCAGTAAAGCAAGCCAAGTATTGGGACAGCAAAACATACGGCAGTTCCGATCAAAATAAAGAAACGTCCCATACGAAGCATATTCATTCCCATCCTGTGCTATCAGTGCCAAACATGGGTCATTCACAACAAACCAGAAAAGAAATTAGTAAAAATGGAAACGAGATGACTGAGAAAAGGCTGCACGAGAGACCAGAAGAGATCACAATCAGGAAAAAAGTAAAAAGGGGGGAGAGAGTCTGCATAAAACCAATTCTAAATTATACACAAATGCAGCAAATCAAATGGTTTGGCCACTTAAAGAGAATGCCCTGCGACGCAATATCACACAAGGCATACAGTAAAAGAGGTTAAAAAACATAGCGCATTATGTAGACCAAGAACACGTTGGAAAGATAACATGAGAAAACCTCAACAACAGCGGGTTTGAGGTTTGAACAACGGATCAACATCATGGCACAATGCACAGGCTCTGTAGCACCGGCGAGGATCCTGAAATACTTTGGGTATATTTTAAACTCAAAATTTTTGCCTGGGCAGCGCCGTTAGGCTACTCTTTTTGATTTCCAGTTGCGAATGGATTTTGTACGTGCGCAACAGTGCACAAGGGGGTCCGATCTCATTACACAGAGACCAGGGGGGAATTATTAGAAGTACAAATCCTCGTGAAAATCCAGACGCCTACTGAGAATTGAACCCCGAACCTCTAACACTCGAGACGGACATCATGCCTCGAGACCCCGCAGGATGAGTCTATGTTTGAGGAGGCCAGAAAAGAAAGAAGCAGACCCCTATACCTACCTCGAGAGCCGAAGCGGTAACAGAGGAAGTGAAGAAAAGGGGTAAGTATGTGATACTAGAACAGAAACCATGTTTCTTTTACCCTGGACAAGTAATAACAGATGATAGCAAAAGTGGAATAGAAATCATAAATAGAATTTCCATGGCTACATAAATCTTCAACAAGACGCAACATAAATGTATATACTGAGAGAAAAGCAATACAATGCAAATCAAAATTGCCAAATGTTCTGTATACTCAACCCTGCTGCATGGTGCAATAACCTTGACAATGAACAGGCAACTAGGAAATCCAAATGCCACTGTAAATGTGAGGATATACAGTATAATACCCCCCCCCCCCCCCACCCCCCCAAAAAAATCAAAGGTTTACAGCAGCGGTTTTCAAACGTGTGAGCTCATCGAGGTTTCAAGGGAAACCCAGAGCAATTTTGAAACTGAGTTCATTTCTACTTGTACTCTTATACTAAGATTGTTTTCTGGTTCATTATAAATTAAAATTAAACAGTCATAAGAACAAAACTGCGCTGCCAGCTTGATGTGGAGAGTGATCTCCGCTGTGCACTGAAAACATCAAACAGAAAACAGCAGATTTCGTCAAGACAGAGCAGTGTCAAGAACTACAACTATATTTGGGCACTAAATTTGCGATTTTTTGGTGACTGTTTCTTTTATTTTGTTTGACACTTTGATTTAATGGTTGTTTCTCTACACATTTTTGTTAAAAGTGCTTGAAAATGGTCTTGTGCTTGTGCTATTTTAAACCACATTTTTATGTTTAAGATTTGGTGTCTTGCCATAAATTCATGGGGCGTCAGATGAAAAGGGTTGAAAAACACTGGTTTACAGTGCCTGGAAATGAAAAGTTGTAAAACAAGGTAGGAAATTACAGAGAAGAAAAAAAAAAGGGGTAATGAAAAACTCAAATATTTATGTCAGACTTACAAAATCAACTACAATGAACAAACAAAGGACATTGCGGAGATTAGCCTTCATCAGCAAACAAAGACAACACAGAATACATTAATTCAAAAATATACATTAGCTATGAAACTACCGGAAATGAAAAAAAAAATTATTAAAAACTATACTGGACGGAAAAGTCGATGGCAGGTGATCATGAAGCTGATAGTGATACAGACGGAAGGCGTTATCAAGCAGGCCCAGAGTAAGCAATCTGAGAAAGTGTAAAACCAAGACGCGAGACAGTGTGTGTTGGAATTGCCAGCTTCACTATGGAAACGGCACCTGACTGCTTTATCATTTGATATTCAGCCTAACATCACCCATTCCCCCCCCCTCCCCCACCCCAACAGGACCCCTGAAATCTTAACGGCTCCACCAAGTATTGCCTTGTAGCCATCATGGTAGTTACTTAACCCAAGGGAGGATACTGAAGTCATGATTTGGATATTTTACTTCAATGATGATGGGACTTTTTATAAATAAATATAGATTACATAATATAAGGGCAGTCGACATGCCCGAGGTGCTAGACGCTCACCGCGGATCGGAAGGTTGTGGGTTCGCTACCTTGCAGAACCGGACTTTTGTCAAAAATGACCTTGGCTCCCAGGTCGACCCAGTCTTGAGTGGGTACCGGGTGCAGTCCCGGAAAGTAAAGGCGGCTGGCGTGATGCTGACTACATTACCCATCTTGTGCCGAGTGGTCTATAAAAATATAGGTCTAGCCCTATATGCCCTATACGCCTAATGGCGTGGAAAAAGGTCCTTTACGTACTCTTACGTAGCATCAAGGCTTACTCGGTGCCGGCAAAATTTGTTTTCTTTTTCCAGCGCTAATGCAACTGACACTTTATGGCAAGTTCTGGCATGTTTTTATTCCTCGGAGCTTCGTGGGAAATGAATAGTCGAAATTATGCTCTGTAGTGTGTTAAAAAGAGGAGAAATACTGACATCTTGAAAGATCTGAACATCAATAAAGATTGGCTAATAAACAGTATCCTGTCTCGGAAGCTGAAATATTTTAGTCATATCAAGCGTCAAGATGGATTAGAAAACAGTATAGCAAAAGGCATGGTACCAGGAAGGAGGGGCAGGGGCCGACCAACACGAAGATGGGCACAGGATATAAGTGACTCCTTGAGTGTGAAAGTACATGAGGCGGGAAAACTGGCGAGAGACCGAGTTTCTCTCAGGCAGACTGTGATGAGAGCGACGTTCTGCGAAGGACTTGCTACATGATAATAAGTGTGTTAGAACTAATACTGAACTTTACCGGTAGACAACATATCTAATGGTTTGGCCATGTGACAAGAGTTGCGTCAGACAAGACACCACATAGATCTATGACTTATAGATACTGCGGTAAGTCCAGCGGTCGACCATGCAGGATAGGGACCGCAGAAATATAAGAGATACTGAAAAATACTATATAGGAAGCGAATAGAAGATCTCTTCCTGACCTGGTGCTGCGAGGCATTCAATGAGTAAAGAACAGAAAAAGGAGATAAAAAAGAATGTCGTAGTTTCAACAGCACGGTTTATCGAAAACAAATTATTTCTCTATAACGTTTTCAATAAATACCTGGCAACTAGGTCCCAATATAGAACGCAATGGTGTCATCATTTATGCTTTCGTCATTTGTGCTGTCATCATTTGTACTGTCTTCATTTATGCTGTCATCATTTGTACTGACTTCATTTATGCTGTCATCATTACCCAGACATGACTGCAGATTGCACCGGTCGAGTGTAGCCGCTGCTACGGGTGCCTCAATTATAACTTCTTTAGAGGCTGAACCGGGTATCCGGGCTTGTCATGCTTGCCAGCCATCATCACTGAGATTCTTTAGTCCAGGTCCTGTTGGTCTGCCATCCAGATTGAGAACTTTTGATATCAGGGTGTCAAACGTTTCAGGTAGCAACCCGACCGGGATAAGCGTCATGCATGCGAGCATTTGGAGGCGACAAAGGTCATCATCGTTCTTACTCGTATAGCCCTACAGATTACATACATCGGGTTTGTGTAGCTGCTACGGTTGCCTCAATTATAACTTCTTTGCAGGTTAAACCGGTTATCTGAGTTGGGGTATATTGGTTTGCCATCAAGACTGAGACCTTGTAACGTCAGGGCGGTCAAACCTTCATCCGTCGGAGGGGAGAAAAGGGACGGACGGACAGATGTAGATGCGGAAGGTTGTATATTTCAATTGTTTATTCTCGGGTAGAAGATGTCGAGGCCGACCTTTACTACGATATAAAGACGTGTGCAGGCGGAACATAAATGATACAGGTTTGAGGTGGACCGTGTTATGTGGAGGGAATGAGAATGAAGGAAGAAATGATTGTAGAAAGGACGAGAGCTGAGCGTCTGAGAAGAAACAGACTAAACACAAATGTTGACAACAACGGTCCTGAAATCTTATGCTATAATTGCGGAAGACTTTTCTTAACGCGAGCGGGTCTTGCTAGTCACACTCGCTATCGCCACGGACTGTGAGTCCCATGCCTCCTCCTAGCGCAGTATAGCTCTATCGTCTGGAAAGACGGAAAGGTGCCAGTCATCTCATCCAGAGTTCCCTGTAACCGCAGTGTCCATTTTCCTTTACTCCTACGAGCGCCGATCAAAGTCTCTCAAATGCTATCGAATATATCATCACACCAAAGCAGGACAGAGGTTAATATTTCGTGAACGTTTTTTTTTTAAATACAGTTGAACAGGGGGTGGGGGGGGGGGGTTATCTGGAATTTGCTTCCATCAAATACGAACCTGACCACTGGCTGAGTCACTGTGATCAATCTTTCAGGGTGAAATTTCTAATTTAAACTTGTTCGTTAATGTCATCGGCACTTTTATTTTAGTTCACACCATTCCCCCCGAAACTAATTTTTGTTCACCCCATCTCGGGGCATCCGAGAGTTTCCATGATTGAAAGCCAAATACTACAGAGGTGTTACGGTGTGAAATGAGCACCGACTAACTCTAACACCCCTTCCACCACCCCCCCCCCTCTCCCTTTTTTTCCCCCTTTATTTCCATAATACTGGACTTTCCCTGGACACGCTCGGAGTTCACGAGATGGGATGAACTAAAATAAAAGAACAATGTCATCATCTTAAATCCATGAAGCTGAAAACTATAACGCGACCTTTGACCTCCAGTTTTCTATCTGGTAACCACAGTCGGTGTTTGTAAGAAAAATACAGTATGAAAGACGAGGCAATGGCGAGTGATTCAACAAACGGAGACTCGACAGCCGAACTGGACAGCTTTTTGTCTCGATCTTTTCTCGACTTGGAGAAAATAGACGAAAACTTGTTTAGGTTAGTATGTTGGCTTCACCGAAGTTAACAATAAAATGGTAGTATTAATATTATATTAATATTACACTCTGGATTTCTATTCACTATTATAAATTATACACAATAATTACTATTACATGACGTAAGTAATAATTGTATATTACTTTTCGTTTCATTAATTACTTACCTTTCACCAATGACTATGCTCACACAGGTAACTATATTAAAACAATAAGATTATTGTTTTAAATTAATATTTTTAGTATTGATTTATTCTTAGGTGTTAATTCTGCCAATGGAGCATAGGCCCTCAACAGTTCACTAAAAGGTCTCCCATACCGTCTCTTGCTGTCCTCGTCATGCCCTTTCCGTTTTAGGGGTGACGACGCCAAGAAAAGAGAGTGTGAAGCCAGAGCACCCATATAAGCCCCCCCCCCCCCCCGCCCCACCTGCATGGGGCCAAAGTAGGAACGAGAGAGATGAAGAATATAAGGAAGATGAGATGGGAAGCTAGTGAAGATTCAACCAAATATACAATTAGTCTGTGATGTGAGCTGCATTGTGCAAAAGAGGTGCTTCTCGATTTTCTTCTTCCTCTTCCTTACATTCACCGGTTGTAGACTCCAGAGGAAAGTTCTGGTTGCGAACCACTTCTAGACTTCAGTCTTGTTCCAGAACTTGAGCTCTGCATGCACATCCACATTACAGATTTGACTTGTTTGTATACAGATTTTTAGTTCAACTTTTAGGCAGATGCTCTCTGGCTTTAAAGAAAACACTCTTAGTTAATCGACTTTTACAACATTCTTGTGGTGGGTCTATTCTTGTTTTCCCTAAAAGAGGGACTCTGAACCTACACAGGAAGCTTCCTGATCATGAATTCATTGTCTTATGTGTAATTTCTTTGACATGTGACTCCATGTTCTTTATGCTTTGATTGGATTGTACTTGTGCAGACGTCACCTTGCAACTTTTGCCTTTTTTAAAAAAAAACCAGGAGCAGAACATTGTGGAAACATAAAACAGCCAGAGGGGTCTACGGTGGGCAAATTATCGGCCAGGCCCTGGTAGCTGGTTCCCAAGGGATTGCAGAACATCAACATATTCACAGTTTGCATTCGTATTTCCTTCAGAAAGGTTGGTTTCAGTCTCTTTTCTCTTCTGCTGCAGGATGTAGAAACACTACATATTTATTTTGGCAAAACTGCACACTCCTTGTATGACCTGATGAAGTGTGGACAGAATGGATGACTAATTACAGGCATTATGAAGGCTAAAACACTGCTTGGGGCAGAAAGAATGGCATATACCACAGCCAAAAACTGTATACACAGAGAGTTGAATGAGAGTGAAACACAAGGCAGACCAAGAAGATGGTGGGGAGATAATCAGACAGACCTAAAAAGTAACTGCGTCACTAACTGGAAAGTGAACGCCAGTTACAGAGAAGAATTGGAGGCGAATGATGTTTGCAGCAGTGAACCTCACAGGGTCGGAATGCTGAAGAAGAAGAAGGGTGGCAGGTTATTATGTGGTTATGTAGTCAGCATCGCTCTAACTGCCTTTACTTCCTAGGACTTAACCTGATACATATTGCAGGCTGGGTCAACCTGGGAGCCAAGGTCATGTATATAAAAAATAAAAAAAAATTACACAATGCAGACTCAAAATTAAGACTTTTGAGCCGGAGGTGGAACATCTAACAATTACACAGCTCCCACCAAAGGAGTTCATATTTTCTAAAATGTGTATGCTTTTATTCAGAGCTTTTTTCCTGGAAAACAGGGGCCAGCACTCACCACAAAGTGTCTGAGAAAAGTGTCATCACAAAATATCTGTAGCGCTGAAAGAAAAATTTCTAAAAACAAAGGTGCCAGAAAAAAGCCTTGCTTATATGTGTCCTCTCCAGGTCGACCTAGCCTAAAATGGTTACAGCCTTGTAGGAGAATGTGTACAACTCAGAGGAGCAAATAGATCACCTCAATCTGGTGTGTGATGCAGCAAGGAGTGACAAGGGGATCTGGCCAATACTTGACACTCAGAGGAAAGGCAAGATGGACGAATAATCAGACTGCTACTGGTACCATTGGTATTGGAACTCTGCGCTGGCTGCTGAAAATGGGGACGGACTGCTTATGGGAATGCCCCCGAGTGTTGTGATGTCGGTTCTTGAATCAACTCAACTTCACTGAAAACTAAACAATAACACAAAAAATAATAGTAAACTGTTAACCGAGTTACCATACCTTTCCGTGTATAAGATGATATGTTTTCCCACATTTATTTAAGTTGAAAATTGGGGAATGTGTTTAAAATATTTCATTGTTAATTTTAAGTTAAAAAAATTAGTGAGGGTATCTTACACGGAAAAATGTGGTAATTTATCAACAGGTAAGCAAGATTTACCTATCCTCTATCACGTTGACAAGAACCGAGATGGAAGGACCTACTGTGCCCGCTCTATCAAAGCTGTACAATCAGGCAGTGTCATATTCACCATGCAGGCATCCTTCAAACTTCAAGAACCATTCAGGACAATCCACCAACTGCCAATGCCTAAGGTAGGACAGTCAATACAATATGTGGTTCTTTATTAATATCCTACCCCAGATGATGTCACAGGACAGTCTTAACATTTTATAGGGTGGTAAGACTGGGTTTCTCAGCTTTCCCAAAACATCTAGTACTGGCCCTAACCCCAACCCCCTACGTCCCATGAGAAAGTGCAGTCAAGGTCCCACGACAGCATGCAGCCTAGGTCCCACAACTGCATGCAGCCTATCTACCACCCCCTGAAATATTAGACTGTCCCGTGACCTGTGGATTTCCCATGTTTGGGGAAGGATATTAATAAAGCACCCAAGATGTTTACTAGCATCTGAAGGGCATTCACAAACACATCTGGTGGTTCAGGGTTTAAATCCGCCTAGTGACCAGATTTGTATCATGACTACACATCTCCAGCCATTAGCCTGTCAGTCTAAACTGTGTTTGGCCCAGGAATGTATCACATGTTATCAGCTATTGTTTGTGTGTATCAAACACCAGATGGTGCATTATCGTATCTTTTATGAGTTATGAGTTATCTTCACAACACTCCGGACACGTCCATAGGTGCTCAGATCCCCTCTTCCACCCACACGTCAGCGTCCTGCGGTTAATAGTGCCAATCCTGTGCTGGTTAACAAGACTTCATGTACATCCAGTGTGTCTCTCATGCTTGGCTGTGCAAATCTTTACTCCTGATTCTCGGATTGTGCACATGGTGCTCCCAAAATCCTCAGATCGTCCCATCTCTCGAGGAGTATAAACAATCTCTCTCTCTCTCAGTCTCTGTCTCTCTCTCTGACTCTGTCTGTCTCTCTCTCTCTGACTGTCTCTGTCTATCTCTCTCTGACTCTGTCTGTCTCTCTCCCTCTCCGTCTCTCTCTCTCCCTCTCTCTCATATTTTGCTCTTTCATATGCAGGTACTTGCATTTTACACACACAAAAAGAAGACCAATTAGAAATGGCTAGGAAAAACTAAGGCAGAAATTAAGATGGTGAACAGGCACAACACGTCATTCAGAATGCAGATTTATCAGTGATTTCAAAGTTATGGCAGAAAAGAAGGCTTTCGTTTCAGCCCAAAATAAACACAGATGACAGTATGCATTATGTTCATATAATTATTATTCTGTGCTTCCTCATCAGTTCCCAAACATAAGCATTTTTTTAAAAGTGTTTCTGTTTTCATTCAGGTGCCTCAGCCCGATCAGCTGGAAACGGCCACAGAATCTCTAGCCAGATTTCACAAGTGAGTATTTCATAGTTCATTGGGGGCTTCAGAAGAAAACTTTAAAAGTGTGACAGAAATTATCATAGCCATGCCATTGTCTTATAACCTGTAAATATTGTTGTTAAGGATGTCAAGAATGCTAAGCATGTGGCATCATCGTATACCCGAACCGTTTAAAGATTACTACCATCACTTTTGACATGCAACAAAGAGGAGCAGAGGTGTTATCCATTCTATGGTCAGTGAAAGGGTGAAACCTTTAGAAATTCCCTGGCGAATGAAAGTCCAGTATGGCAATTTATGCCTGAGTGGAGTAGGAAGATTCAACACAGCGTGCTTGTTGTGCCTGATCCAGTCACAAACAATCTGGCACAGAAATTACAAGCAAACAGCTTCGACCACTTCGCCACTGACACCCTTATTTAATTGTAAATTCATTCGGAAGGAAATGCTCTCAAATAACAAGTTGATTTGACGAAGTTCAATATTGTAGTTGTCTGTACTGACCAAACTGATAATAATTGTACCCCTTGAATAATGTAATTTAAGACTTGGATGTTGATTACGTTTATAATTATCTGCTAAATGATGTATGAATGAAATAATGTATGTGAGGAGTAAGGTGAGAATGTAAGACCGACCTGCATTCCCAATTCTTAATCCTTTTAAAATAAAATGTCGTAATTTGTTCGTCCTTCTATCTCACTGCCCAAACTCTATCAGGGTAGTCAATTCATTCCATAGCTGATTTGTTGTCTCTTGTGTATATATGCATGGACTAGGCAAACATAAACAGCATCCAGTCCCAAAAACATCATAGTGACCTGGAGAGAGCACTGATAGAGGGTCCTGTTTCCAGAAAATGAAGATGGATACAAGAAACTAAAGATGCATTGGCTATGAAAACAAACAAGGCGGAAGAAGTGGCTAGAGAAGGAGAGATGTTCATGTGTGCCGTGATGAGAGTGACATTGTGTAAAGTACCTGCTGATTGATGATGATGATGATGGACCAGGGTTATAAACCTTGACTGATTTCTTTCTTATTGCCATTATATCAGTTTTCTTCTTTACGTCCTCTTTTACCGGTTCAGGTGTCAAGGGAGATGTAAGGTCTTTTAGCTGCTTCGACCACAGAAATATTGTGGTGCTGCAGTGTTTCTCTGATGTTATCTTTCCATCCTGTTCTTGGTTTACCTCTTGCTCCATATCCTTCTCCTCTTTTGGTATGTGCCTTGTATGGTATAACATCAGAAGGCATTCTCTCCAAGTGCTGCCTCTGTATGTAATTTAGAATTGGTTTTGTGCCGACTTGATCTCCTATGACTTCATTCCTGATTGTATCCCTTCTGGTCAATCCTACAGTTGTTATCTCATCTAGTCCCTTCTACAGTCTTTCTCAGGCACCACATTTCCTCATATCTGTACTGACTGAATTCTACTAGGGTAACACATGTGTTCTTTAAACAAATTCTTTCTTCTTGTCTTTTGTTTTATAACAGACCAAACTGTTTATAAGAGTAAACCATGTTTCCTAACTGACTTCTTCCTTTTTGTCTTTTGTATCCAAATTATTAACTTTTACAGGAGTGACAAACTTTCGGAGAATCGATATTATTTTGGGAAGGAATGGTATGATTCGTTTCCAGCCACTATCAAATTTATCAACCCTGACGAGCTTCTTCTCGAAAGAACTTTTTATCCTAAACGGTTGATGTGGGTGAAGGCCAAGGGTCATATTAGTGAGTACCACTGCTTTTCCACATTATATTTTAGAATTTTCCTATTCAATTATTAATTTACTTTTTTTTAGGCCAAAATATCATATCTACCCCATGGTGATTAGGATAAATGAATGAGCGTACTTTCACAGAGACTGAAAAACATTCACTTGCTATGGAGAAGTGGTTTCTGAGAAGAACGCAAAGAATGTTATGGAACTGTAAAAAAACCACATCACAAATAATGAGAGGTTTACTGTATAAATTACCCAGCACATTTGCAACTATGAACCTCTTTTAACTTCAGTGAAAAGATGGAAAATGCAATGGTACAGACATGCAATAAGATCTAACGGTCTACCAAAAATAATACTACAGGGCTGGGCAGCGGGGAAGAGGAGAACAGACAGACCAAGAAAGTCTGGATACGGAACTTTACTGACTGGACAGGCCATAGACATGTAACCATGAAATCCATCGCAACTGACCATCAAAGGTGGAAGGAGCGGATCAGACAGTCAACGGCAACTGGTGATCCAGCGACATGCAGTGTTACATGGGACGATGTGATAATGATAAAAAAACACACGCGTCGCAAACTGACCAGAGAAAAATTAGTGTCATATGTAAAGTAGCATTTGGGGCTAGACCCATATTTTATAGACCAATCGGCACAAGATGGGTGATGTGGTCAGCATCACGCCGGCCACCTTTACTTCCCGGGACTGCTCCCGGTACCCACTCAAGACTGGGTCGACCTGGAAGCCAAAGTTATTTTTGAAAAAAGTCCGGCTCCGCCAGGGAGCGAACCCACGACCTTCTGATCCGCGGCGAGCATCTAGCTGCTCCGCTACAGCGACTCCCACATAATGATGATGAAATAAATAATCCTTGTAGGAAAAACACTTTGCCAGAGTTCTTTACAGTCCAAGAATAAACGTAAGGTCTACAAATGTAATAATGTTGATGGTTCTATATGCATTATGACGAAAGCGTCACACAAGCTTGAACTCTGTAGCTCTAGCGACAACCCCCAGAGAGATCTCTGTAAAATCTGCACATGTGAACTGAACGATTCATAAGTGAAACCAACCAGCATCCTTCAAAGCATGAGGCAAACGGCTTGATCACTTTGCCACAGAGACCTTCCCGATTGTTGAAGAAGAAAACTAAAATTGTTTGTTTTCAAAACCTTCTAGGAGTGACAAACCGTTAAAAGATGTTATATATAATCAATGAATTAACAGTATTCATTGTATCCTGCAGGTGGAGATGCCCACCAAAACACACACAAGTGCTGCCTTGGCTACTTATCTGATGCATTCATCCTGGCAACAGCGTTATTTCCTCTGGCCCCTATTAAGAAGAGATCTGCAGTTTTCTTAACATCCCTGGATCACAGCATGTGGTTCCACGCCCCTTGCAGAGTCGACCAGTGGCTGCTGTTTGAGTACAGCGTGGAGCAAGTAGGTAAGGTCCCTTTACACATCACTGGCACATTGGATGTGTGTGGCTAAAATCATAATCACTTTATGTGGTCAACATCATACCGGCTGCCTTTACTTTTCAGGACTTTACCTGGTACTTATTTGAGGCTGGGTCCACCTGGATGCCAGTCATTTCTGAAAGAACAAAAATCCAGCTAAATAGATAATAATTTCTTTTTCAAACATACCGTATCCAAAATGGAAGTTGGCTGAAATGTACCCACTGCTGACTATGGGAATAATATCTAGTGAGGCTCCAATATCTTCCATGTTTCGACTCTCATACCACTGTCTGAAAGCCAGGACAATGACCTGCAGGAATCGAATCCTGGTAAATGTTGAGGAGGTAGCTATTAGAGTAGTGGCAGAGCATGTTTTTCTTTCTTTCTTTCTTTCTTTCTTTCTTTCTTTCTTTCTTTCTTTCTTTCTTTCTTTCTTTCTTTCTTTCTTTCTTTCTTTCTTTCTTTCTTTCTTTCTTTCTTTCTTTCTTTCTTTCTTTCTTTCTTTCTTTCTTTCTTTCTTTCTTTCTTTCTTTCTTTCTTTCTTTCTTTCTTTCTTTCTTTCTTTCTTTCTGTGTTTGCCCTGGCTGGGTAGCTGGTGAATCATCTGGAAGGCTAAGACTGATCCATGTGTGCTCAGGTCATCCAAGTCCTGGTGAGGACAGACATCTGTCAGAGTGTCCTCAGTGCAGAGAAAGATGGCAGGGAGATCATGTACAGGCAGGCCTACAAACACTTGGAGTCTCCAACTAGAATGATAAGGTTAATGATAAGGCTAATCACAATGCTAACTTATGGCTGCGAGTTGGAAGGCAACAGTAGCTCTAGATAATTTTGAGAACAGATGTCTTAGAAGAAATCCTTATCTCCACTCCAGATTGATTTCAGATTCAGTATGCAAATAGGACAAGAGACCAAGCAAGATCATGTATCCAATTTTATGAGGAAGCGTTTCTGGAACTATTTCGGCCATGCACTCATAATGGATAAGACTCCCTTATCAAGCTCTCATATGGACACAGGAAGGATCATCAGAGAAGGCTCAACTATGGGTTTAATGAACTGATGTTCATTTAGGTCTTGAAAATAGGTGCCAATGAACTGCCAGATATGGAGAGCCATGACCTCCTCCCTGGGTGCCACCTAAGGCTCAGAAGGAAAGACTAACTACCTAACTAATCGCAGAGATGATGGAGTGAAAAGTAAAAGGACCCTTTTCCACGCCTTCAGGTGTATTGGGCATATAGGGCTAGACCTATATTCTATAGCCCAATCAGCATTTGGTGGGTGATATGGTCAACATCATGCCACCACCTTTACTTCCCAGGACTGCACCTAGTACCCACTCAAGGCTGGGTCAACACGGTAAAAAAAAAAAAGCTGACCAAAAACACATAGAGAAAGGAGTGAGAGAGATGTTAAAAAGATAGTATATGGGGTGAGCTGCATATGATAGCAAAGAGTATGATGACTTGCCATAAGTTGGTCAAGGGCCTTTGCATCACTGGGAGATACAGGGCAAAAGAGGAAAATTACAAATAAAAGATGACTTGTCATTGGTAACTTCTTTCTATCCTTCACTGCTACACCAATAATTGTTAATTTACCAGTTAAACCTACCAGTAGTTATCATGTTATGTAGAAAACTGGTCAGCTTTCACATTTTCAAATACTGCCACATTTGGTTGAATTACAGGTGATGGCCGTGCTCTTTGCCATGGCAGCATCTGGGACATGAATGGGACTCTGGTGACAACGGTTGCCCAGGAGGGAGTGTTGAGGCACCAAGAAGAACCAGCCAAACTCTAGCAAGGATCTCTGTGAGGCAACTACTGCCAATGCCAACCAGTCTCAAGTATTGAATTCAGCTTGACAAACCACGGTGGAGCCTTCTTCATCCTTGTTTTGCTGTGCAATATCAAGTTGACAAAAGACGACTGGTTAGAGCAGATCTTCCTGATGATTCCTAGTGAAAAGTAAGTACAGTGCAGACCTGATAAAGAGAACTCACCAGGGACCCCAGACATGGTTCTTCTTATCAGAAATGCCTCTTATCCAGATAAGAGTTCCAGCAACAAAAATTGCCGGAAATAGACAAGATTCTTCTTTACAACAGACATTCGCCACATCCAAGATTACCTTAAGGGTCTGCACTGTACTAATTAACTGTTTACTGCAGACACAACAAATGTGTTATCTAGATCCATAAGGGAGGGAAAGTGCGAGGAGGCTCCAAATGAAAGCTGTGACAAAAATTACAATAACTATGTCATTGTTTTGTAACCTGTCAGTATAAAAATAAACAGAAAACTGAACGCTACTCCTCACTGGTGCATGTCAAAAGTGGGGCAGCCATCTTTAAACTGTCATTATGATGTGCTCAATACTCTTGACATCCTTAACAACAATACTGACAGATTACAAGACAAGGGTATAGTTATTGTAATTTCTGTCACACTTTTAAGGTTTTCACCTGAAAAGCTTCCTCGTGATTTTAGCACTGTCACCTACCAGTCTTTTGGTAAGAGGGAACTAAGGAAGGTTGGTGTGAGACTGACTACCTGATTCTACAGAAAACTTCAGCTGTGAAATGCAGCCAGTCAGGAACAAGTCTACTTCTTCTTCTGTGTATTCACCCTTAAAATGGTAGGTAGAATTTAGTGTTGTGGTTTACAGCTAGGCTGTGATATTTGAACTCTTCAGCCCAGCACATCCAATTCAGCGAACCCCTAAATTAGTTGCCTTCTACAACCAGGGTAGTTGGGCAGGAGCAGCAGTGGGTCCATTCTTTTTTTTCCCCCCACCCAAAATGGACCCTTTGGAACCCACACAGGGAAACAAATCTACAGAATTAGTTGAGGATGTCGGCCTCATTGGGAGATAAAATAGAAAACAGCAGCAGCAGCAGAAGAAGAAGAAGAAGAAGAAAAAACTCCACATAATTAACCATACTTTCAGGAAGTTCTTATATCATATTTGTTGGTGCATAAGACCAAATTTGTTGGTTCTCAAAATAGGCCTTAAATTGAGGCTGCGTCTTATACAATGAAGGTAGGCCTACATATACTGTTATTTGTCATAGTTGCCCGCAATCTGGACAAAGACAGTAAGTGGCATTCCTAGACTGTGAGTTTGAAACTGCAGATGATCAAAAAAGCTGAAGAACACAGCAATAAGTCTGCAGAACATTATTTTGGACCTCAACTTCCTTGTGTGGATCCTGGGGCCCAATTCTGGGACCAATAAGACTAGACTCACTGCCTCCCCAAAAAAGCATGTTGTAACTGGGGCTTTGCTTTGACGTCAGAATGCATCTTCAAGGAACCAACAGTCTGCATACAAATAAGCTAGATATGCAACACTTGGAACAAGACATAAAGTCGAGAAGTGGACGAACAACTAGAACTTTCCTCCAGAGTTTACAGTTAGTGAACGCAAAGAACAATCAGAAGGACCTTCATCAGCGGAACAACCACAAGGCTTTGGCAATATTAGCAGGATGTTCTGTACATTTTGTACAAAACAAACAAAGGAAAGCGTGTCCAATGTGGAAACAGTGCAAAATGGCAGGAATTGGAGACTCATCTATTGAAATGAGTGCAAGAATTAAATCTGAATTTTTGTGTGGGGAAAAATTCACTCAAATTTTATGTGATGTGTCTTATACAAGGGACAGTCTTATATGGTATCTTGTACAACCTCAGTTGTTTATTTAACCAGTTGATTACACAACAAACTAGTTGTTCTGGAATTCAATGTGAAAGAAATGTACAAGAAGACCAGAAAATCACAGGAGGACAGACCTGATGCAAAACCTGACTTTAAACTTGAACACAAGGTTTGATATTTGTGTAAATATGATATGATAGGATATTTTGAGTCATTTGTCACAACTGTTCATGTTAATGATACACAACCATTTTGCAATGCATATTTACATCAAGGGTCAAATTTATAAACAGCGGAATGTTTCAATGACTTGTGTTTGTTGTAATGACAGTATAAACATATAAAAAAAGGATACAGTAAGAAATTTTGGGCAAAGAAAGTGTGTATGTGTGTGTGTATATATATAGTCCCATACTTACTTTTGTTACGTCCACTTATCAGACAAAACATCTTTTAACAAAGGCAAGTTAAAGGACTGTATAACTTCATATATGTGAGTGTGTGTGTGTGTGTGTGTCTATAATGGCAGAGGCTGACCAGCATGTGGGCACATGGTAAAAAGTGACTGCTTGTGTATGAGAGTACCTGAGAGGGGGGAGCTGGTGAGAGATTTATTTCACTGGTGTAAAAAAAGGTCCATTTTGTTTACAATTTAAAAAAAAAAAATTTTTAATTAATTAAAAAACATAAAAATCAAAGCACATACATATACTGAAGTTACAACGTATGTTTACTATGAAAGGAGCATTTAATAGCTCTGACACAGACAGTCGAAAATGTCATTTATACAATGAATACTATGTCATTTGACATGTAACAAAATATGACAAGACACAAAAGCAGATCACAAAAACAAGTAGTAAATACACAAAGCAATCACTGACTCCATGGGAGACATGGTAAGTATCACAGCAGCAGCCTTTAGGACGTTCAAGTGTGCAGGGATGAGAGCCACGATGTGTTGACTGGTGGGTCTTTACTTCCCAGAACTAACAACCACCCACACTGGATTACGGGTTATTTCATAACCGTTCGGTGACGCCCCCAGTATAGCTGTGCTATATAGCTATACGGTTGGATGACGCTTCCCGTATTTGTGGCTGTTTGATTCACATCCTTGTTATATTAATCCTGCAGACTCATTTACTGAAGGGAGAGAAAAAAAAAAAAAGCTTCCTAGAACATTTTCTAGTACCCATTTTAAACTAGGCTGACATACCAGTACAGGCCAATTTGAAAAAAACAAAAACATTTTCATGGGAGACGTGCTTTAAACACCCCCTCACCCCTTGAGGATTCAAAAATAACCACCTGAGCAGCTGGCAGGTCAGCTATACCTGTGCTACTGTGACGCCCACTTATGAGACTTGTCCTTTAACAAAGGTAACATCATGCCTGCTGTCTTTACTTCCCAGGACTTTACCTGGTATCCATTTTAAGCTGGGTGGAACTAAGAGTCATGGTCAGTTTTGAAAAGAAAACAAATCAGACTCAATTCGGATTCGTACCCTAAACTTTCAGACCGACATGGCAAGTCTATAGTCACTATGCTACTGTGGCTCCCACAAATAAAATTATTTTCCCTCCGCAACCTTCAACAGCAACAACATAATTAATAGTTCAAAGGTTTAAAATCAGATTACCTTCACTGCCCCAGATGGTGACCCAGACTCTCTGTAGAAAGGCTAGATACCTACTGAGAGCGTAGCACAAAGCATGAACTCCCCAGCACCACTGATTATCCTTGAAAATGGACACACAACCTTCAGAGTGCGGGGCAAAAGGGTTGACCACTTTACCAGGGAAACATCCCACCCACAAGAGGTGGCTTCACTGCCTGGATAAACCACTGGTTAGGGTGGTATCGGACAAGGAAGCCGTGAAGTAGAGGGTTGAAGGCTGCATTGCTACAGCAGCTGCCATGGACTGATTAAGGGAAAATCCATCACCTTCAGGAATATTCTTCTTCTTCTTTCATATGCTATAAGCTGCAAGGGAAAGTTCTGGTTTTTCATCCATTTCAGGACTTTAGTCTTGTTCAGCTTTTGCATGCACATTCATTTTACAGATCAGGCCTTTGTAGTGTATGCTGAATACTGCTTCCTTGCCTCTCAGGCAGATGCGCTGACTTTGAAGAAAACATCCCATATTAGTCGCCTCCAAATATATGTTTGCTGAGAGGCAGTGGCTCTATTCTTTGTTCTCCAAATTAAGCCCCGGAACCCGCACAGGGAATCAAGGATTCCAACCTGAGTCCTTCCAGCGACCGCTTATTTATTTAGTTCAAGTAAATACAGTGAAACCATTTACAGCACATACAGATTTTCACACGATTTCGACAGGTGGTCTTTTCTGAAGATCTTATGTAGGAGGTTTTTACTCCGAGAGTAGCAGCCTGGTTCAGGACCCCTTTTAGGGGTCGTGTCGGCGAGTCGGATCTGGGATACGATCCCTGCCAAGAGCTCGTCCACGTTGTGGTTCAGCACGACCGAGGTTTCTATGTATTTGCAGTCATAGGTTGTAGCCACGCTCTTGGCTTCTGTGAAGGTAATCGATTCAACAGTTAGCAAATGATGACTGACACTTATAAAGAAGGGCCAGACATAATATAAAAGATGAAACTGAATGATATAAAACAAACAGGACCGTAATTATTAACTCTTTTAGTCCGAGTCCATTGTTACTTTAACTCATTCTATCTGGATCCATCACACCCACATAGGACTTAGTCCTTTCCCCTTTAGGATTGCAGGTAGGTATTATAACTTCTCTGAAAGCTGAATAAGATATCTGAACGCCTTTTTTTAAAGTTGCAGATACTCACAGTAAAGTGTCTAAAAATGTGCCGGTATTCACTATAAAGTGACTAAAATGTGCCAGAATTCTCTATAAAGTGTCTGAAACTGTGATGTAATTAAACAACACGCTGGGGGTTCTAAGTGGTCTCGAGGCATGGCATCTGCCTCGAGTGTTGGGGTTCCTTGGTTCGGGCTCTGGTAAAGACCGGGATTTTTTCACGTGGACTTCTAGTAATTTCCCCTGGCCTCTGGGTAGTGACATCGGACGCCCCTGTGTACTGTTGTGCACGTTTAATAAAATCCCTTGGCAGTTGGAGGTCGAAAAGAGTGGCCTAACGGCGCTGCTTGGGCAAAATTTGGAGTTAAAAATCTACCTAAAGTATTTCACGATCAACGCTGGTGCTATAGAGTACGTGCACTGCGTTGAGATTCTTCAGACTTTTTTTTTAAATCGGTGGAACTGAGTTTCTGAGGTTTGGTGCTGTTTGATTCTTATTCTTGGGCTGTTGATTCTACAGGCTGCCATCTTGGAGGGAAAAAACAACAACAAAACCAACATTTTTTAAACTTCTCTGGAGGTTGAAAAGGACATCTGACATTTGTCCTGTTGGCTTGCCATCCAGAACACAGTTTTTTATTTTTTATTTCAGGGTGTTCAAATCTTTAGGCAGCAGTTGTAGGGAAAAGAAAGGAATTGAAACTATATGAACACTGGGCTCAGGCAAGTTCAAATAACAGCCTGTCAGGGCAACAAGCTTTGATTTTAAACACATTTCTCCACTCCGGGACTGAATTTTGATTGAATAACATGCAGTGAACCAAGGAGTCAATATTCGGATGTTAATTGAATCCAACAGAAGCACTGACCAGAAACACAGATCAACCATGGTTTATACAACGGATCAACATCATACATAGCACAAGGGTAGTAAACCATAAGTGCTCTGTTCTACTTCAAACTCAAGCCTGACGAATCTGAAAATTCTCAGCGTTGTGCACGAACTCCGTAGCACCGCCGAGGATCCTGAAATACTTTAGGTCGATTTTAAACTGCAAATTTTGTCTTGGCAACGCCGTTAGGCTTCTCTATTCGATTTCTAACTGCCAAGGGATTTTTTTTTTACGCGCGCGACAATACACACGGGCGTCCGATCTTACTATCCAGAGACCAAGGGAAATTCCTAGAAATCCACATGAAAAAAAAAATCCCAGCCTTCACCGGGGTCTAAACCTGGGACCTCCAGCACTCGAGGTGGACACCATGCACCCAGGCCACAGCTCCTCCCCCCTCCCCCTTGTTTAACCATACTACACAGTAACATTTGGGCACTCTGAGGTTGCAGAATAACCTGTGTCAATGTGAGTGAGTAATAATACAAAACAAGTTGAAAGAATGCAAGACACATACTACTGTCATTACTGTATGCATTTAGCATTTTTGTAGTATAGGCAACGGGTCTTTGAGGGTTTAATTTTTGTCCCTGACAGAAGAAAAAAACCAAATGATCTTACTGAGCAATCAAACTTCGGTGAATGAAAAGAGACTCTTCACCCTTAACAACTTAGCCAGTCCCTCTATAAGACACACAACAATAAAATAAATTATGGTTAACTATTAATTCTGTTTGTACCCCCCCCCCCTCTCTCCCGCCCCGCCCCATCTTCTCAACTACTACATGATGATTTATGGCTTCTGAAGTTTTCACACCTGAATTTATCACCCCTGAAGCTTTACTTCTAAAGTTACTGACCCTGAAGTTATCACCCTGGAATTTATCGCCCATGAAGTTACCACACCTAAAGTTACTGCCCCGGATGTTATCACACCGAAAGTAACTGCCCCTGAAGTTATTACCCCTAAATCCACTGCCCCTGAAGTTATCACACAGAAAGTAACTGCCCCTGAAATTATCACCACTAAAGTAACTGCCCCTGAAGTTATCACACCGAAAGTAACTGCCCCTGAAGTTATCACCCCTAAAGTCACTGCCCCTGAAGTTATCACACCGAAAGTAACTGCCCCTGAAGTTATCACCCCTAAAGTCACTGCCCCTGAAGTTATCACACCGAAAGTAACTGCCCCTGAAGTTATCACCACTAAAGTCACCGTCCCTGAAGTTATCACACCGAAAGTAACTGCCCCTGAAGTTATCACCACTAAAGTCACTACCCCTGAAGTTATCACACCTAAAGTAACTGCCCCTGAAGTTATCACCACTAAAGTGACTGCCCCTGAAGTTATAATCACTAAAGTCACTGCCCCTGATGTTATCACCCCTGCAACTTCAAGAATCACATTATAGATGGCAATCCAGTAGGACAAATCCCAGATGCCTAGTTCAACCTCCGAGGATTTTTTAATTAGGGTTCCCGTGATAGCTTTGGCAAGTGGTGTACCTTACAGTCCTATTTGCGTTCTGAATTTTCATTATTCACTCAAATGTATCATTCCCTTTATGGTCATCATCAACTGAGCAACCAATACAATTAAGACTCACGTACAAACCTTCGGTAGAGACCTCCCTAGTCCGGACTAAGTCACACTTATTGGCCACTAGTATCACAGGCCCCGCCCATCCGTCAATTTTACGGAGTTCGTAAAGTAGATCTGTAGTTCGCTCAAATGTTGATCTGTCATCTATGGTGAACACAAGGACAATGGCGTCAGAGGTGGGCACGGAGTGAAGGTCCTGGTGAAAAGTTACAATAATTTATCAGTTATTGCACAGGCTGACACTAACTGATACAGCACATACGACTACAGGACACACTACATGCTGCACCAGAGTGAAGTTAAAAAGGTGGGGATGACATGGGGAGAGCTGCAAGCAATAGCAAAGAATAGAACGACTTGGTGGGGGTTGGTTAAGGGTCCATGGTCTATTGGGGTCTAGAAAGGAACAAGATGGCATACTGCACCAAGATGGCAGTGGTTGATAAGGGTGGCCCAGCTGTGTTAAACACACACACTCACCCTTTCTGGTGTGCAGCTTACTTCATAACCATTAGATGTGTTATAATGAACAAGCGAGGACGCCCAAAAGAACCCATAAAACGAAAGTTCATAAGAGAGGCCAAAGATGCTAGACTGGATTCCATCTATGATATCGAAAGGATTGAGTAGGGTAGCACGAAATGGATGACTAGACTGCGAGCCCAGTGTGACATACAACGGCACAAAAAGACGATGATAATTACGTATTTCATCGATGGCTGAACTATTTGAATACTCACCAAGTTTTCCTGAGGAACAATGAACTCTAAGGCAGTCTCAGAACCGTCCAGCAACACGGAGACATGAAGCTCCCGATCACAACCTGCAAGAGAGTGTCACACGAGCGGTATGAGTGGGTGGCTGCTTGTGAATTTCCAGAAAGACTTGAGCTGTACCTGTTCAAGTCAAATATGGGATTTCATCTGTCACAGTGAGGGTCGTGTTGGGACAAGCTACCAGAGAGCTATACTTAAGGGGACGGTGTGCAGATTATTCTTCAGCTCCTTAATCCAAAGCACAGTGAGTTCAAATCGGGGTACTTTGAGGAGTAAAGTATGACGCAAAAACAGCAGGTAAAGCACCTGTGCTTTATAAAACCCCTTTTTCAGAAAATTCACACACATAACCCCCCCCCCCCCACCCCCCATCCCTGACCCTCCCTTTTCTTTAGCAAGCATGTACTAAAAGGCTGAGGTTTGCTGAAAGATAATGTGTTGGACCAAAAAGCAAGATGTCGCAATCTAGCTGTAAATTAAAACACAAAACGCCAACCGCTCTGTAAAAGGCTAAACAAGAAACAAAAAGAGGAAAAAGAAGAAGAAGAGGAGGGAGAGGAGCATAAGAAGAAGAAGATATTCCGATGAAGCACAGTTTCTTATCCAAACCCAGTTAGGGCCATTTGTATACTGATTCTTTACTGGATTTTGCTGTTTCGATTTTCTGTGTGATAATGTAGATAATCTACGGCCAGCTTTACTAGTCGCCTCTTACGGCATGCATCAATAAAACATAAACAGTTACTAAATATAGCCATCGAATGCTGCCTTTGACATTTGGTACACTGCAGTGGCTAGAGGTTTGCCTTCCGCCGCTAAAAATCTGGAGTTAAAAATCTACCCAAAGTATTTCAAGATCCTCGCCGGTGCTTGGCATTTCGGGCATTGTGCTGAGATTCTTCGCACTCAAGCTTGAGTTAGAAGTATAACGGAGCACTTATGGGGTAGCCCTTGTGCCATGCTGTTGATCCGTTGTTTATACCTAAACCTAGTTTTCTTGCTGAGTATTTGTTCACGTATTTCCTATTACTTGTAAGAAATTGCCATTCAACGCACAGTAACAATAATTACTATTATTATTACTGCGCACTTAAAAAAGGATTGAGCTACTGCGCTCCTCTTCTAAAACATTATAGGGGAGCTGAGCGACCCCTCCCCTAATTTGTGTGTGCGTGTGTGTATTTGTCTGTGTGCGTGTGTGTGTTTAGTTTTTACTCCGGAAGAATTACATTCTAAAGGATTAACAACTCAAGGATGAGAATTTTTTTTTTTTTTAAAAAGGTACAAATTCGGGAAACCCCGTTTTTCAACAATACAACCAAATAGCACAGTTATGGTGGGACACCACAAAACGGTTACAAAGCAACTCGTAGTCCAGTGCGAGTGAGCCCATGTCAGCAAATTGTTCTTGTTGGCGGCGAGTCTGATTTAAACTGCTGTATGTAGGTGAGACATGGACAGAGCCGACAGACCGAGAAACAGCTGATAAGTGGAGAAAGGTGGCTTCCGATAACAGTGCAAAGACCTCTTCAGAAGAACATAAAAACAAATGAGTCAGCCTACCTACAGTATTCTTGTGCGTTGCACTTTCTCTGACATTAGGGGTAAGAGGGTGTTTACATAATGTTACTACCGTGTTAGAAGTTTAGAGTATATTTGCATGCTTCCTAATCAACTCAGTTTGAGAACTCACTGAGAAAACCAATACCAGTGGAAGTCAAAGAGTTGCGAACACTCGCGTGGGAATCAAAGAGAGAATCAAAAGTACGAGGGAACCATCTCTGAAAATCAAAAGTACGAGGGAACATCTCATAGGAATTGGAGATATGTGTGTTTGTAGTTAGAAGATGAAAGGGTTAGGCGGTCATATAATGGGGCCAAAAGTTGTACTGTTTACTGATTTCAGGAAGACATGCACACTTAGCATACCCATAGATGCTCCGTCTCCCGCAGCGATTGTCTTAAGGTGCAGACTCTAACTGTTTCCATAGTAAACAGATTATACACTCGTCGCTCTCTTCCTCTTATACGCCACTCCTTGCCAGACCCAGTCCTAATTCCCCTTTCGCATTCTTACACGTGTTTTTTTTTTTTTAAACCTAACTTCGTGTCTTTTTTCAACATTCTTTTATAAATGGTCTTTAGATATCTTATTTGTCCACTACGAGTGTTTTTGTAGCTATCATTTTTGTAGCCAGCCCCAAAATCCACCGTTTTATTTCCCGGCACTCCTGCATGTCCCGGACAGTATGTCCACAGGAGTCGCTGTTGTACTGTGCCGCGGACAGGGATCCCAGAAGTCAGTACGGCGTTGCAGTTTATTCTCCTGGACGAGTTTGTAGGGCATCAGATCCTTTAGGGTCCCCTGTAACAGTAGGTAATGACCTTGGCTCTCAGGTCGACACAGCCTTGGGTGGGTACCAGCTTCAGTCATGGGAAGTAAAGGTGGCAGGCGTGATGCTGACCACGTCTCCTACCCACTGCCGATTGGTCTATAAAATATAGGTTTAACCCTATATACCCAATACGCTTGAAGGCGCGGAGAAGGGGCGTTTCACTTTCAAAACAGGAGCTGCTAGCTTGTACCGGGTGGGGGGGGGGGGGGGAGGAATTATAATTTGCAGATTACTTGCAACACGTTGCAGAACCGATCCAATCATTCTTTTTCTGCAGTTTGGCTTTACTGTGCACTTTTGAGTTTAGTATTTAACCATTGCTTCATAAACGGTACGGGCCACATACTACAGTATTGAACAAAGTCACATTCAGCTTCCTAATTAAATACAGCGACCAATAATAACACGAACGTTGCGGCCAGAAAGCCTAAATCAGCACGTCAACATCAACAATGCCACAGCTGCACAGACAACTACACATAAAAAGGCGAAGGAACCCACTGGGGAGGATACTTGATTTATCCTAGGACTAGGACACATGCAATTTGAAAAATTCATGTTATAAGAGCAGTGCCTAACATTGAACGCCTGAGGGGGCTGAGTGGTCTCGAGGTATGATGTCCGCCTCCAGTGCTGGAGATTTCGAGTTCAAGCTTCGGTAAAGGCTGGTTTTTTCATGTGGACTTCTAGTAATTTCCCCTGGTCTCTTGGTAGTAAGATCGGACGTCCGTGTGTATTCTTGCGCATACAAAAAAATCCATTGGCAGTTGGAAATCGAAAAGAGTAGGCTAACGGCACTGCCCGGGGACCATTTTGAGTTTAAAATCCACCCAAAGTATTTCAGGATCCTCGCCGGTGCTATGGAGTTCGTGTACTGCGCTGAGATTCTTTAGACTCAGGCTTAAGTTAGAAGTAGAACGGAGTACTTATGGGTTAAACCCCTGTGCCATAATGCTGATCCGTCGAATAAACAAACATAAAGAAAAATGAACTCTACCTAAATCCCATGTACTGAAAATCACCATTTGCGCTATGAGATGCCTGGGAAAGGCCGCAAACCTAACCATCCGAGATCCAGTGAGTAATGATACTATCAGACAGATTGTGGTAACAACACCTTGTACTAGATTCATCAAGAAACAGCAGATCAGGTGGTTTGGCCATCTCGTTAAAATGCAGGAATATCAAATACCATCACAGGCACTACATCTCATAAGATCAGCTACAAGAGTAAGAGGACGGCCGCAAAAGCATGGATAGACAACATTAAAGACTGACCTGCTTAGATGGAATGTCCCTTTTCGATTCAAAATATTAGTAAGATGTTCCAGTTTTCAGCTCAAGATGTTATGGTCAACCTCAATGTTGTTATGTTGTTAACTGTCCTTTGGAGTTGACAGAGCAGGTCGGGAAAGGGTTCGAGCTGCCTGGGCAAACCATGGTCTTTATAATACTGCCCAGGCTTTATGCTATGGAGAGGAAGAATTTTCAAGGGCTTTCTATAGTGCAATTAACACTATCGTCTGGAAAGAAGGAAAGATGCCAACGAACTAATAAAGTGAAGAGTATGGGAAGCGGTGTAGTACATTTTTGACTGATAAACAATCTAATCCAAAAAAATACATATCGCGGATACAAACAGTCAAGAGCCTACACTTGACATACTCAACATTCTTGTGTGGGATTGGATCATTACAGCGTTTTCAGTTTGCCCACAAATAAGACAAGGGTTGTCTCTCCTGTCAGGGGAGGCCATTATCTGGCGAGGTAATTAGTGCTTACTGTCTCCCCTGAGTGAAGAGACCAGGCTGTCTCTTATCGAGGGCAATGAAGCCCTCAATGTTGGCAGCGGAACTTCTAAACAGAACTGGGTTAAGTCCGGGCTGAGTCTGGTGTAGGGAAATCAGATTAGAGGTTACCTACTCCCTTAGGTCCTAAATGGTTTGTGTGTTTGTGAACGAAACACGGATACCTCCATAAGAGCATCAGTCTCTATCAAGGGTCACACAAGGTGGATGACACGATTTCTCGGGTAATGTATTATTCCTTACCTGCACCAGACTCACATACGATACAATTACGTCCTTTTTAGGACGCAATTTTTTGTTATTTGAAGCCCCACTCTGGCTTTTGCCAGGGGCCGCAATATAGGCAGGCCATAAATATGGCCAATTGCCTGAACGCGGTTTCCGGGATCCCTCCACGGTGATCAACAACCCACATGGTGGCACTTTGTGTCATCGGGTGTTTATCGCTTGTGTGATGTCCTGGTGGGGTGGCGAAATCCAAAAGGGTCGCGACCTACTGTTCTTAGAACCGCTGGTCTAGCAGTAAATGCAAAAAGCGCCAGTGGCTATGGATAGATCTATTGGTCCGCGTGTTTTCTCTAGCTGCTATCTAAAGGTTTACCACATAATCTGGGGATTTAACCATCTTAATCTGGATGACAAACTAACAAGGTAAACCCTCTAATACCCCGTTCAACCCCGACACAAGTTTTGAAATGTGACGTAAATTCTGCCTGTTCGTCCATATCCGGAATTTAGTCTTGTTGCCGAACCCGAATTTTGCGTGCACATCCAAATGACAGGTCTGGCTTATTTGTATGCAGACTGTTGGTCCCTCACCTCTCAGACAGATATCCTCCTACC